ATAAATAGATCATAGACGTCATACAATAAACTTGGGCATCTATCAACATAACCCCATAGAAACATTAGTCGATTTGTGTCTGCATCATAAAGTTATTCTCGATTGAAAATGTCAGTTTACAAGCCAAATTCTCGTCATTTGCGGGATGTTTTAATTTTTTGCTTCAATATGAAGAAATCTGCGGCTGAGGCTCATCGAATGCTCTCAAATACTTATGGTGAGGCCGCTATTAGTGAAAGAACGTGTCGTGAGTGGTTTCAACGCTTCAAGAACGGTGATTTTGACGTCCAAGGTCATGCTCTATATTTGGTAGGACCAGCTCGGCGTAGTGTATTATGAACTGTTAAAACCAACTGAAACAATCATAGGCGATCGGTATCGAACGCAATTGATGCGTTTGAGCCGAGCATTGAAAGACAAACGGCCGCAATACAACGACAGACACGATAAAGTGATTTTGCAGCATGACAATGCTCGACCCCATGTTGCGAAAGTGGTCAAGACATACTTGGAAACGTTGAAATGGGAAGCCCTCCCCCACTCGCCGTATTCTCCAGACGTTGCTCCCTCTGACTATCAATTGTTTCGATCAATGGCACACGGCCTGGCTGACCAGCACTTCCGGTCTTATGAAGAAGTAAAAAATTGGATTGATTCGAGGATAGCCTCAAAAGATGATCAGTCGACGCGGGATTCGTACGCTACCCGAAAGATGGGAGAAAATAGTGGCCAGCAATGGACAATACTTTGAATCATAAATGTATAACCAGTTTTTTACAATAAAACCTCGAAATTCGGAAAAAAACGGCGGAAGCAAAGTTGTACATCTAATAAATATCAAAAATATTTTACTATCCCGTTTGTAAAATCCATCTCTCAGAGCTTTATGCCTATATAGCTATGGACATATATCTCAACTTTCACCATACCTAAGAAACACTCTTAAGAAATTTATGCACAAGGATAAGGACCGTTTGGAACATTTCTCCAAGCAGGGTGTCTATAAAATTGAGTGCTTGGATTGTGGGGCTAACTACGTTGGTTAGACAAAAAGGAGATTACAAACTAGAATAAATGAATATCGATTTGATTAACAAGAGAACAGGATCAGTATTTTCTCAAACAACACGAAATCGACTAAAAGTCGACTACAAGTTGAGAAGTCAAGAGTTCGATTTCAAAGTCAGCCCAAGTGTTGATTAATAGTCGACTATTGTCTCGAAAATAATCGACTATTATTAATCTAATTAGCTAAAATTGACAACTTATCGAATAGTCAACTTCTGTATGGTTAATGTTCCACTTCTTTGTTAAATTATTGGGCATTGATAACTGAAAAATATCTTATAGTTATCAATGCCCAATAAGTTAATGCAGAAGTGGAAACATTAACTATCCAGAAATTAACTATTCGGTAACTTATTATCAATTTTGGTTAGCTGAGAGGTTTTATTATAATAAATTTTATTTTCTGGAGAAGCACAATATATTCATGTTGTAAACTCTTATTGTGATATAAAACAACATAATCATTTATACAGGAATGATCATTTTGAAGAAATTTATACAATAAATATTTTAATACAATTATTAGCGATAATATTGTTTTGTAATAAATTAGCACGTTTTTGGAAATGCAAATAAAATAGAATTATTACACGCAAGAAAAATAAAATAGAGGATAATGCAATATGCGATGATGCAATATACATTTTCCTATATATACATATATTTTCTCATTTAAATACAGAAGCTCTTATAAGCGACCAAAGTTAGATGTTGGGATAAATATTTCTATTCTTATATATATTTCGCATAACATATATTTTATTTCATAACGTTTGAAATAATGATAATCTCATAAATTAATTTTCGATCGTCAATTTGCTATTAGCATATTATGTATAAAGTGTAAAAAACTTATTGCGACAAATATTACCTCAGCCAGAGTTCAACTCAGATTTCTCGATCTCTGGTCGGGTATGCTTAATCTTTTAACTACTGAGGATTGGTTAATATTCTTCGCATTAATCGATAT